CGCAATTAATACCAAATCTTCATATTACAAAGAATATAGATGACAAGTGAGTTCATTCGAATTAACTTATGAATATATTTCATGTAATGAATTCTCTAAAATTTACATATATTTACTTTCAACATTAAACAACTAACGTCCAACGCCGTTAACCACACTAGTCCTATTTAAAAGCATGCTACACTGACCTGTTTACATTCAATGAATTTGCACCTCCTTCTGGATGGTCCTCGATCTCAATATCCCGAGGAATGGGATTGCCCTCCCAATTGACCCCGGCTGCCACTTTCACAATAGAAGTATACCCACAATGTCTAATCACCACAACACCTAAAGTAGAAGTATCCAGCAAGAGAGAAAGGTGAGCTCAGCATGCTTCATCAACTATTCTAAAGGAAATGGCTGAGAAATCAAAAGGTGACAGGTTACTAGACAAACATGAACAGTCGCACTCTCATCTGCAGTTATGCCTTTAAGCAAGTTTCTCTTGGTAAGATCCTCATGCGACATTCCAAGAACCAGACTCCCACCATTTTTGCTATCCAACTTTGTGCTTGCATCTGGCACATCTTTTGCCACGCTAATAAGTAGATCACCAATTCTTTCCTCGTATAAAATCGAAGAGTTGGAATTATCTGTCGACCTTTGATCATTTTCCATGAGACATTTTATTGCCTCAACTGATTTAAAGACTGAAACGTCGATGAATAGACTGTGGAAGAAGGAAAGCTTTTCGATCACGGATCTGCCTCTCTTCCGCAGTTTTACATGGCATTGCAGCCAGAATTGAGAATTCCTTTGCCCAGAGCCTGCGGTCATGCTTACCATCTCTTCCTTGTCCACCTCCATTTCCTCCCCAACTTTCATCTTCCACAGGAAGAGAAGGGAAGATAGACGGGCTCTCAGCATTCAGCAACAATCGGGGGGACTAGCCATGTGTTTGCTCGGAAACCATATGGAAGATTCCCAAACTGCATTGACAAAGATGTTGTCATCAGTGAAACTGGGAAATGCTATATAAGCGTGAGGGGTTAAGGTAAAATAAAATTACTCACTTTATTATGCTCAGTGAAAGCTTTCGTGAGAGCCTTGTATGCCTGAGAACAGAAATCAACTCCACGACTAAGATGAGACTTCAGATGAATGAGCGTTCAAGAATTCAAGAAGACAGATTTTTAATAGCAAAATTTAGAGGGAACTAAAAAATAGAAAAGATTAATATGGCATAATAATTATTAGCAAAAAGGAATTAGTAATAGATAGAATAAGCCTGCACTTACAGAATCAAATATTCGACTTATCTGCTGCAACAGGCCAACTAACGAGTGGCTCAAAAGAATACACTTTCCAGAAGGGTAAAAGCCTTTCCTAGAAGCAACAATTGTTGTTGGCTTCCCACTGCAAATCCGTACCTGCATGCAAATTTGAAGAAAAAATCCATCCGAAACAATGTCAGTTGATACCAACACCACAAATGAGTTCTAAATGTTGAAAGAGAACAAAAGATTTATTGCGTAGGAGTTTAAGATGCTAACATCAATTTGAAAGAAATCATCATCTGTTTTATCCTCGTGGAATGGTCGAGTTGACCTTCTAATATCTGTAGAAGCATGACAAAATTACTCAAACCTCTTACTTGAGGCACAACAAAAGATCCGAGCACCAAGTATGCACAGTGAATCTAAAATAGATAATGAAATTGTTCCTGTCCATGTTTGCTTAATAAATGGAACAAATATGAGTAAAAGTTTCCTCTTTTCATTATTTCTAACGTTTGCCAATTAAAAAATTATTCACTTTAAAGCTCAAACTTACTAAGCTTAGCCAATCATGCTCCAGAATTGAAATCTTGCCTGTTTTGCTCCAAAAAAAAATTACAGAAGGGAATTAAAAAAATTCATGTGCATCGAGGAAGTGATGATAATCAGTGTCAAATGAAGAAAATAAGTTAAAATATCGCAATTCTCCCAAAAAAAAAAAATGAGGTATTTGGCATCATAATATGATTGAAATCCACAAAATGTCCGTCCAAATTTAATATATTTGTAATTCCGATAACATGCATTAACTCATTTATGCTTCGAAAATTAGAAATTCCATGCACGATCAAGATAAAATGCCTTTAGTTCACGAAATTTTACTTTGAAAACAAAATGAAAATTAAATAGTAATATACACACTCACATTGAACGGGAGGAGTGATGTGAGAGAACGAGAAGAAGTCGTAGAACTGCCCCAGCCTAGGTGGCGGGTACATCATCGCCGCCACGGCGTCCACTTTTTCAGCCGATTCTCCTCCGTCGAAGGAGGCAGGAACGTCGGACTTCGTGAGCTTTGCCTTGGGGGCCTCAGCTTCGGAGTGGTTTCTGAAGGTGCATTGTCCCGCACCGGGTTCAGCGTCGGCTGTACCGGGTACCTTAACCCCGGTTCGACCGCTCGGTTTGGGAGAAGAAGATGAGACTCCGAATGACGTGTGGTGCAGGCGACTATGTCTAGGAGCCGTGACAGCCGCCTGATGTGTACCACTGCTCGTTCTTCCGTATACTCCTCTGCACGAATCACACAAATAAATTTATCTTTATTTTTTTATGTCGCGTAAATTTTATTATTTTTAAAAAATTTATCTAATTGTTTATAATTTAACATCTTAATTATGTGAATAAAATAATTCCACAAGAAAAAGTATATAAGGTGAAAAATAAATTCTTGAGAAGTGGTGAATATTTACTATAGGCTCCGTTTGGTACCCA